TTGCCTGGATAAAACTTAGCCATTTTCTAGTACCTAACTGCTAGTCAGGATTGCTTGCCAGCTTGGGAAGTTGCTGTGCAGGCTGCCCCTAAATAGCTCGAGTCCAACTGCAGAGCACCTGCTAGTTTGGGAGACAGTAAAATTCAGGGCAAAGGCTTCCCAAACACAAAGGCTTACTTGTGGAAAAGGTCTTTGTTGATCTTGGATGAAGTTGTAACCACCATTTGATGACTTTAGTGAGGCATTGTATGGTGTACTAAGTCTGTACATGTGTTTCTGTGTGTGAAAAAACAACACCTGAGCTAAACAGAAGAGACCAGAACTGAACCAAGTCTCCTCCTAACGGTCTTTCTTCAGACATATTTTATGGAGCACTCCTGAAAGGACTTTTTGTGTAAGACCATTGGAAGCTCTTTCCAAGGCTGTAATCAGAAGGAGTGCCAGAGCCTGTGGCCACTGCTCAGTTTGCAGCTGGGATCTCCCAGCTTCCCACTTCAGACGCTGATCTGGCCTATAACGGTTGTTAGCCTTGTTGGGATATGGAGGAGCACGAAAAAGGAGGTTTTAGAGAAAAATATTCTTCACTTCCTCAGCCCCTGTTCATGCAACTGCTACCATGCACTGCTGCACCTTTAGCTTTGCACTGTGCCTTCTGTCTGCTGGACTCTTTGAGGCATTTACCCCTTCTCTTGGAGCCAGTTGTGTGTTCTGACTCATTCAGTATTGTGTTTGTGGTTTATTTTATGGGGTGAAACAACTGGGATGACCTTGTGAAGATCAAACCAGAGTACTTTCGTATGGCATATCGTTGCAGTGTTGATTTTCAAATTCATTTAGTGACAATACTGGCATTCATTCGTTCTTTACAGAAGTATGCTTATTGTGAAAGGTGGACAGCAACAAGTTTTCATGATAACACAGTGGATCTGCTAATTAGCCTATTCATCTTCAGAAATTTAGTTTAAAGGAGGCAGCTCTGAACTGCCAGGATTCATTGAGCTGTTCCCTGGAAGGCATTGGTGTAATCCAGACCCCACTAGAGTCTGTGAGCATCTTTTTGTTTTGCTGACTTGGTTTCCAGTAAAGGATTATGAAACACTTGGACATCTCTCGGTCGTGCTGACTGGTATCTGGAGGATCTCCTTGCTCCTTTCTTTTTGTGGTTCAGCTGCAGTCTGGCAGAATGATTTTGACTTTCAGAGATAGACAATTTAGTGAGCTGAGGCAAAATTTCAAACAGCATTGCCCAAAATATTTATGGGGATCAAAGCCATACCATTATCAGATATGTTCTGAATACTTACAGGATCTTTTCAGGAACCACTGCATCTCTTCCCAGCAGCTCTGCAGGGACCGTTGCTTAGGCTGGAGGAGAGCCTGCTCAGCACACAAGTGGGATCTGCCACTAGACAAGGCTGCCTGCTCCATCCATGCGTGCAGGAGCTGGCCAGGAGCCAGTAGTTAATTCTTACCATCCAGGTTACTTACCTTTTTTTAAGCATTTCAGTCAAAAATGAGTTATTTCTTACCATCGTGCAAGGCAGCACCTCTGAACTGTGGCCGAGTTTGGGATTTACCACCCCATCACACACATACAATGCCTTTTACGCCAGCCAGGAGCCAGAACAAACAAAGCCACGCATGTAGATGTAAGGCACTCAGGCTCAGGTTGAGGGAAAGCCATGCAGTCCACTGATCGCACGCAGCAAGCTGATCTTTTGCTGCAGTTTTTGTTGAAAACCTGATAGTTAGTGATTCTGAGACGTTCAGTATGGAGCAGGACAGGCAGAACTGACAAACTGGATGACTGCCCGGTGTGCTACAAAAAAGGCAGAGAAAGAGAGAGCCTTTGGTATCATTCAAGAGCTCGACTGTTTTTTTCGGTAGGTATTTTTCCAGTTCACAGCAGGCCATTGACACTAGAAAGTGCAGCAACAGCAACCTCAGTGGTGAAACTGCCAATGTTACAATCAGAGGGAGATAAAGTGAAGTATTTGTTGGAAGGGCAGTACCAGGAAATGGCTGAGACATCACATGACGGAGGATGTGCTCTGTGTAGCACAGGGATGTATTTACTTACAGGCTAGACTTCTACCAGTCTCGACCAAAGGCTCCTTTGGCTATAAGTTATTTGACTTACCTGACCCACTCGCAGTAGGAAGTGATTATGTAGATAGCAAATACCTACCCCACCCTTGGCAGGCAGGCAGACTCTTTGCTAAAATGGTCTAGCTCAGCTTTACGGAACGTAAAATATCCCACCTTCCTTGTGAAACCATCATTTTGAAGACATTAGAAGCTGCTGCTGTTCCAGTAAACTGCTCCACTTCTTGGCATTCGAACATCGTGGAGAAAGCCTCTCAGATTTACCTCTTACCATCACCTAGAACACAAATCATACATGAAGAATAAGCCTGGAACTTTTCTAAGGTACAAATCACATCTGCCCCTGATGATAAAAGCTCCCAGGCCCCCTGGCAGGCAGGGAAGTCGCCGGTGATGGAGGATCCTGACAGGAGCTTCACACAGCCATTCATTGAGGTGCTAAATAGAGACTCCAAGAGAATTTTTCCTGGACTTTTTTGTTTTCTTGGAATGACAGTTGCAGCTTAGTTAGCATGCATAACACGCTTCGTGGTGATTAATTGTTGTTAATTAATGAACGGGTTTCAGATTTTAAGCAAAGTGCCTGAGACATTATGTGTAATTTATCATTTTCAACAATCATGTTGCTATTATTGGAATTCCTAACCCTGAATTCTCTTCTGCATAAATAGATGAGATTTCACCAGAATCTGTGGCCTGTACCACAACTGAACATCAGCATAACTCTGTGACTTCTCACCAAAACAAGATTCTGATCTTGCTTACATCAGAATGTCATTGGAAAAGGCCCATGAAAGCTAGCAGATTTATGCTGCTGCAGTTAAGAACAGAATCTGGCCCAAAAGAGGTTTTAAAATAAAAGGACTACTTTCAAATTAAAACGATGATGTCCTCCTGTTGGGCTGCAGGAATAGGTGAAGAAAGAAAGGGAAGCAAAGAAGAGCTGTGCTAGGGGAGTCAAGTTAGTTAGTTTAATTCAGTTCATGTTTTTGGTGTATGTGAGAATTCAGGTGCTGACACTTCAGATGCTGGGATGGGCTCGAACAGTTCATTCAGCTGGAACTGAAGTGACAATTTCATTTTCTTCAAAGGTCGTTTAGCAGAGGTCAGGGAGTAATTCTTCATTTTGTGCCAGAGCAGTGACTGCTGAAGCAGACCTGATCTTTCCGTGTGCGTGGGGCTCATGCATTGCTGCTGGCTTCCCTGCACACCACATGCTTGCTGCCTGGTTTAGATGGGCTTAGCAGAGAACACAGATAAGTTAAAAAGGATTTGTGCTCCAGTTCTCCTGGATCATCAGTCACGTATGGAGAGTGTTGAGAACAATGTGCTGCACTGGGCTCAGCAAAGGATTTTAATGTACAAATGCAGAGATCCATAAAGGACACGGGCGCCCAGCTCTGAGGCTGGGATTCAGAAGCTTTAATTAGGATGCTGCTTTGCCTGCACACTGAGTTGGGGGAATTCAGTGCCTTGTAATGGGGCTCATGTGAGGCGATACTCTAAGCAGGGGGATTGAGCTAGCGAGCTGGAAAAATGCTGAAGAAAAGGATAAATTGCTGCGCTTCAGTAGGCACCTAAACCCTTTTCTTGGATCTGACCCTGAAGCTGAAGTTTTAGTAATATGTCCCAGTCAGCCCGTGTTTACAATTCCACTGAGTTTCCTTAGGGAAATAAATCAAATTAAACTTATTTTCGTTTGACCCTGTTATTAAAGTAAAAAGCTGAGCACCAAAGTGTACTGGAGGCCCAGTGTTATACTGGAGCTACACTTCCCTTGTTTCTATTCCATTTATGAATGCCCTTCATCGACTAATCGCTGTTTGGCACAGTATTAAATTTAATCACTGAGCTCCAAAACGTGGTAATGTGTCTACCTACTCCATGGTTCCATTTGGATGGAAATTTTCTGTCTCGTTTAAAGACTATTAAAGCCCTGTCTTTCTCGTGCAGAACAAAAGGGCGTTGTTTACTTTGTTTTGCATTATTTTCCTATGCAACAAAAGATGATTATTCTGTCTTCTCAGTGCAGAGATCTTGTGAACAAGTAGACCTCCTCTCTACTTGCTTTTCTTTTCCAGGGTGACGACAAAACAGAGAAATTTCCTTCATGCAGAAACTTGTGGTTGAAATGCACAAAAACAAATGTTATTTATCTAAACCTTCAAGGTTTTCCTAATGAAGGTGTTAATTAAAAAGTGACTGTGAGTGAGGCATAATTGAACGAGGAAACACTGTTACAAGGCACAGCAGCAGTTGTGATGAGAATAATGCACATTTATGATTAAGAATGAATATTTCATGATATGGAAACATTTGTTTCAGTCAAAACCTTTCGACCTCGTAAGACAAATGCAGTAACCCCACAAACATGTATTTGATCCCATTGTTGCCATCACACTGTAACCTATGGGGAACAGCTATTTTGATCCATACGACTGGGCAGGCTGTAGGCAGGAGAACAGGGCGCTTGCTTTTTTGAGAGCCAGCAGCCCAGTCACAGTGGGTTCATTTTCTAAAGACCCATTTATTGAATGACGCAAGGTGCAGATTATGACTCACTCTGCATAGGTTAAGTTTTTAAAAATCAACCTATATTCATCTTTCTGGCACCTACACAGCTGCATAATGCATTTATTATCTCTTGGGTCCCATTAACCCTTTCAGAGGCTTAAAAGTGATCTGCAACACAGCCCTGATGTTCTTATCAAGTGGATTTGATTTGCTTCTCTTATATCAGTGATGAATTAGTGAACAGGGCAGATTTTATTTTCTCTGGTCACGGAGCAGTTCATCAGTCTGGTTTTGGACTTTTCCTCCTTTTCTAATAGCACTCATAAAAAACATGTTGTTTGCTGTGGGTGTTTACTGATTCATGGCACTGTGTTTTCCAGGTCTCATCCAGATGAACCAGCTACCCTTCAATCACTGAGTCCTCCAATGGTCTTGCAATGACACTGTAAGTAATCACTGTTGATTATAAACAGCTTTTCAAGCAGAAGTTTGGTGCCAGTCCAGCACATTTTATTAGCTGAAACATTTCCTTGTATTTCCCACTTGTATTGCAACCTACTTTTTATGGTAGATTTAAGAGTATGGGAGCAGTTTTACTGTGCCTGAAAGGCCTTTAAAAGGACAGAACCACCTCTTCACCCTCTCCACCCATCTCCTTCCCCATCATCCCTCCTTTCAAAAGGAGAACATCAGGAAGTTTGGGGATTCAGATGTGGTTCTTAGACCTGTGTTAATAAGGAAGGTCTACTACACTGCTGGAAATGATGTGCAGCCGCTTGTTCCTGTATTTCATCTCTCCTTCCTCTCAGGAAACCCAGACTTCAAGGGAAGGAAGTCCCCAGATGATCCTTGTACATATCATTAGAAAAAATGGTAGTTGCTTAAGAAGAGGGTGTTTACCTTACATGCACGGCTTCATTTCTCCACCTATCCCTGTACCGTGCATGCTGCAAATAATGACAGCAGTTATAGGGAGCGCACTAGGAAGTGAAGCCTCTCTTTCTTTAACCCCTTATCTGTAGTTTTAACTCGGCAGAATTTTTGTTCCCTGGTAATATGGCTGGAGTAGAGGAGGGACTGTACCTTCTCTTAGTACAGTGGGTAGATGAATACTGCAGAAACCTTTTCTTTTATGTTGAATCAAGCACTGAAATTAATTTACTTCCTCTCTGCTCATAAATACTACATGTCAGCTTTCTGCAAGCCAAGGTATGTCAACATACTTGCAGAGATTCCTATAGAAAGGAAGTGGCAAAACGGCATGCGAGATTATTTACAGCAAATTAATGTGTAAAATGAACGTAGGCCAGGTACTTGTCTGTGTCTTTACTCAGGAAACACATATTATCCTGTGACATTCATGACCTGTCATTTCTAAACTGAAAATGGATGTTGCAGAACACAAGTATGGAACAGACTGGAACCAAGTATAAAAATACATATGCTGTTTTGCAGCTCATAGTAAAACTTACTGAATACTGATGAATAATAGATGCATTTAAAGGAAATTACGGTCTGCTACTGTTTAATCCTTGAAAGAAAAAAGCAAATTTGCTTATGAATTCTCTGTAATGATTTATACTTTAAGACAGAACAGTGGATGCTTGCTACGAAACTCACTGGAGTCAATAAAAAGACCCCCATTTTATGCCCCACATTTGTAGCCTGCACAGAAGTCTGTTATGGCAGCTGCCACCTTTACTAGCTCACCAGGGTTCGGACCAGCTTCCTCCAGGGCTGCAGCAGTAACGAATCTTAAGTCTGGCTGAAACAACCCAGTATTCCCTGGGGACCCAGCACAGAGGTGGACCTGTAACACACTCACCTGTGTGTTACATCAGTAAGTCTAGTATGTGCCGTTCCAGTTGTAGCTCTTGTAAATTAAACAGAGAAATAAGCTGCTCTTTCGCTTCTTGCCACTGCTGAAATATGATCCAAGGCTCAGGTAGATTCCAGCTGTGATCTCGCTCCGTGGTTATGAACATACATTTATGTTCTCAAGACATTATAGCTCCTTCTACACAGGCAAAAATTGTAAAAACAAAATGAACAACGTTCTCTGTGTACAGTAGAGTTATTTAAAGCACCTGAGGGTTTGAACATAAGCAGACACTGTGTTCGCATACAATATAAGCAGGACTTCTGGGTTTTGGCATTTAAAATGACAATTAAAAATACAGCAGGCATGTTTCAGCAACTTTATGGGATGCCATAAACATCCAGAAAAGGATTCCAGACAAAAGCAAAGATTCACAGAACAGATTCTTTTCTTCTTCTCGTTTCCTACCTCGGGTTGTAGTGTGGTGTGTTGTGATACACCACAAAACTAGTGAAACAGAAGCAAAGGGCTGAAGGTGCCTTGCTCATTGCAGTCTGCTATAAGAGGGAAGATGGATTTTGAGAGAATCAGAGCTCGCAACTTGAATGATTCTGTTCAGGTAGCGGCTTTAACTTCCTGCTCATCTAAAAATCTACAAAGGATAAAAGCCCCATACAGGTCTGGAAGGTGGAAAACACTTTCCTTCCACAACACAGAGGTGGACAGAATAGTCTCAGAATCTCTTTCTGGCACAATTTTGCATAGCATGACTCTGCCTGAATTTTCTTTGAGATATCTGCCACAGCAGCCTCGTCAGTCAGCTCTTCCCACTGCGGCCTCCTGATGGTGTGCTGTGGCTCACAAACCTTTGGAATCTGTTGTGTACCTTTAAGCATCATTGTGTTTACACTTATATAGGGCACCTCCTGTTGTGACTGTTTTATAGGCATTAAGCTCAAGTGAGAAGAAGAACCTGAATCACAAATTAAGGATTTAATTACAAGGCTCTTCTTCCTCAGTAATTTTTTTCCTGCCACTTGTAAACCTTTGACAAAAAGAACAGGGAGCTGAAGGTGAGTTGGCTGCTTTGGTTCTTTGTACTTGAATACTCCTTCATCTTCTGGAAAAATGCTTTGAAATCAGACATTGAGTGAAATTTCCTCCGGGATGCCCAGCTCTTTCCTAGCCTTCAGAAGGCAGACCAATTATAGTATGTTTTTGGATACTCCTGAAATCCCTATCTAATTTCAGCCATGTCTTTTGTTCTGCACATGCATTGAAAACACATAGCCATCAAGAGAGCCACCTCCCAACGCTCAGCCAGAGCAAATCCCTCCCCAACTTCCCTGGGTTTCACTCAGTCCTCTCTCTCTCCAGCAATCCCCCATGTGTAGCTCCTCTAAAGAAAGTTTTTTGGGTGTTCACAAGCAATTTACCTTCTTTGTATGCAGAGAGGCCACGGAACTGTTTCTCTTCTTTCTTGTAGTGGGCACCCAGTGCTGAGGTTGTTTTTCAGGAGCCAGGGATAAGTGCATGTGGTGTTCCTGACAGCCCAGGGGAAAGTAACACACTCATTGGTGATCCAGCATCCCAGTGAGGGCAGGAAGAAAAGGAAACATCCAATTTATGCACACAGATCAACTCACAGTGATTGGGAAAGATATCTATGCCAGAAAGGAGGGAGATGCAAAGTATCTTAGGGTTATATTTGTTTCCTGTGATTGTGCATTTGCTTTGTTTTAGTTTTCCTTTCACCTTCCCCTTACTATAATTCAGGACTGTGTATGTAGCAGCTCTTTCTCCCCTTTGCCTGTATGTATTTCCTTCAGTGAGGCAATAATTTCACAATCTGAGGAATCCAGAGGCAATCTCTTTTTACCTCTCCACCTTGCTAGTTGTAACCTCTTGCTCCTAACCCTGCCCTGGTTGCAATACTATGCCGTGAAACAAAGTTCAAAGGTGTTTCTTTTTTTTCACCTCGTATTTCTTCCCTTCTTCCTCAGTGTAGCCCCAGCAGCAGCTTTGCCCATTGAGCGCATTCCCCAGTGCTCCTGCTGAAATCCTCACCTCCTGGAAACATGACCTTGGGCTGGAGCTCACCCCCCATAGAGGTGCTCAGCACAAACTGAAGTTCAGGCCCTTTAAAGAGCTGTTTCGGGGGCTACAGTGGGCATGAAATAAGGTGTGATGTTAACACATCCTCTGTGCAGGGTAATTTGGGTGTTAATTGTAGTGAAACTGCGGTGGATAGTCTTTCTGGCTATGAGTGATCTTATGTGCTTACTCGTTGCAATAGCAGCTATGTGACTTTTTCATTTATACAATCAACTTGAAACTTTCCTGATGAAATAAGGTTTGTAATTGCTGCTGTCAAAAAATCATAATAGGAAAAGCAGTTGCAGTATGTCTCCAGAATGCTGTCTTGAACTCCTGTACTTTGCTTAGCATTGCAGATATCTTCTGCTGTGATGGAGAAGTAAAGCTGATCTGAACGTGGAACAGATTTGAGTAAACCCTTTCACCTGTGCAGCAGGGCAGAATCACTCCTTCCTTTTATTTGCTCATGCTTTGCCCATGTTAGTCACAACCAACAAAACTTCAGCTGTTTGGGCAAGTGTACCACAGGTTAGTGCATCTCAGTCTTAGCTCATTTATCTTACTGCTCAAGACAATTCCTCACACTCTTTGACATTTAATCCTGTGGGTATTTGTAGGCTGTTATGTCTGCCCTTATTGTTGTTTAACCTAGCTATAAGCATTTAGCTCTGTCCTCATAAATCATTTCCCTTCAGCTCCCTGCCTACAATGACTGCATTTGCTCCAAAGTATGAAAAAGCCAGGCAAAGCCTACCCTTTAAATGACTACACCCACAGGATTTTATTGGTGGCACAAAATCAATGCTCAAGCCATGATTTCATTCCTGGTTGACTGTGTGATCTTTTTTACTGGTTTCACTGACCTAAGGATCTATATCAGCACTGCTCCAAACTTTTTTTCCTGCGTCTTCCTACATACTCTTTGGATTTGCTCCACCTCTTCCTCCAGCTTTAAAACCACCAGTTTAGGGCCCCCTGCCCCTTCTGCTGCTGCTGGAAGCAGCCTCTGCTTCCTCTTCCTTCGTCCTTCACTGATGTGCTTCTGTACAGCCAGAAGTTGGTTCCTGCAGGGAAGCTGGAAAGTGGGCTCTCAGTGCACCACCTGGACTCAGCATCTGGTGGGTGCAGAGAAACAGGAAAAGGAGGAGTCACAAGCTGGATACAAACCTCTGCCGAGACCTGTGTCAAGAACTCACCAGCAAGCTGGGAGTACGTGGGAAATCCTTGCATTTTTACCCCCTCCTTCCCCCACCCAGTTCAATATCTCAGCTCTGGGGCTTTCTGTGCTCCTCTTTTGGGGACCTCTCTAAGCTTTGGGAGTGTCTTCTCTGAACTGCATGCGTATGAGTTTCAGGAGCTTGCTGGTGAAACCAGATTATGATGTTGATTAAGGAGTTTTTGAAGGTATCATTGCTATGTATTATCACCTGGATAGGGCAACATTCAGGAGAAATGCAAGAAAATCTCTTGGTGGGCAGACGAGCCAACAGCTGCCTACTGCAAACCTTTGCTTCTTTTGGATTTTTGGT